TTTTATGTTGTTTTGTGGGAAGATTTTGGTTTTGAAGTGATCTCCGCACCCGGCGTGGGGCTGGCACTCCCCACCCAGAGGTCCGGGGTCCCAAGCTTCACGGAGCCAGCCAGGCGCCCCGCGGGGCTGCTTTGGTTTTGTGAGTGAGCCTTCCAAGGAGGAGAAAGACACTGTTCAAATCTGACTCTTTCTTAAGCGGTGAATCCACTGGAAACTTACACTTCTATTTCTGGATAGAATACATTTCCCCAACCCCACCACCGCGGAGGGAAGCATTTTCTGTCATGCTTGCTTCCATTGATAAACTGAGGTCGTTAAACTCTCTTACGAATTTTCAGCCACATGTGGGACTTTAGCTTGTGTTACGTTTTAAGTTTTTCCATTGTCCATAAATTCTTCTAAGCCATAAGTAATTTTTCACTTCACACCGGATTTAGCAGTGCAGGGACTTGCTCCCTCCTCTTCCACCTTTGCCTCCTCCCTCCCTCCCTCCTTCCTTCTCTCCCTACCTTCCCCTCCTCTCCTCCCCCACTTTCCTTCTCCTCTCCCCCCCTCCCTCCCCTACCTTTTTTTCTCCTCCCCTCCCCTCCCCTCTCCTTCCCTTCCCTCCATCCCCTCTGGCCACTCTCATTTCCCTTCCCCTCCCTTCCCCTCCTCTCCCTTTCCCTCTCTTTCCCTCCACTCCTCTCCTCTCTCCTCTCCTCCCCTCCCTTCCTCTCTCTTCCCCTTCCCTGCCTCCCTTCCTCTCCCTTTGCCTACCTGAAGGATTGGCTGTTAGAGTCTTTCAGGTGGGGCCGCACTGCTTCTTGTGGGTGGGGATCTGGGTGGCCCTAGTGGGATGAGGGGGTGCGATTCCACTGTGGTGTCAGAGGGAATGGGTGAGGAGGGTGCTTGGAGAGGGTGGTCCTCAGGACCAGGGTGGGGGGCGGGTGGGAGAGGAGAAATCAGAACGTGGCTTTGATTTGGCGTCAGGCTTTCTTGGTTTCCTTGGCCTTCAGTTTGAAATGGCTCCTCAGTCTTCCTTTGTGTTTCAAGACCTTGACACTTGAGAAGCTTGGAGGCGGATGTCCCCTCATCGCCAGCTACAGGTTAGGCACTGTGGGCTGAAGAGCCACAGAAGCAACAGCGCCTGCCTCCTCCAGCTGCCTGGCCCCTTGCGTGTGCCATCGCTCATCGCTGGTGAGTGGTCTTGGATCACGTGACTAGCGGAACCTCCCCGGCTTGCCCTCCCCACCGTAAAGTTACCCATTTGTCCTTTGTCATCAGTAAGCATTTTGTGGGAAGCGCCTGGAAATGTTGCAAAGCTCACGTTCTTCAGCAAACTTTGATCATTTCTATCATTTCCTCCTGCACATCTGCTATAGGCTGAATGTTTATGGCCCCCCGATTCCCTTGGTGAAACCGCGTCCCCAGGGGAATGGTATTTGGAGATGGGGCCTTTGGGAGAACATGAGGTCACGGAGGCCGAGCCCTGGTGAGTAGGGGTTGGTGTTCTTCTAAAGGGACCCCAGAGAGCTCCTTTGTCCCTGCAGCCATGGGAGGACAGAGCAAGAAGGATCCATCTATGAACCAGGAATCAGGTTCACACCGGACACCCGATGTGCTGGCGCCGTGATCGTGGACTTCCCAGCCTCCAGAACCACGACAAATAAATTCCTGATGTTTGTAAGCTGCCGGTGGGTGGGATTTTTGTTATAGCAGCCCCGACAGAGTAAGACCACATCAGTATGGGCCCATGGACTCATGGGGCTGTCCAAGGAACCCCAGTGCCGCGAACGCTTCCTCCTTTCCCGACCCAGGAAGCTGTTCCAGGCGATGAGGGGGTGTGGGGCAAGCTGAGGGCAAGGTGCCGGTTAACAGCACCCCCCACCCCGGAGGGGGGATATGTGTGATATTCCTTGCACATTCTCCACTACCCAAAAACAGGAAAGGACAAACAAATGGCTAAACTGGGAAGAGTCTCCACCAGTTTATAAGAAACAGGCAATCCCATTCTGCCTAAAGTCCAGGAACTCCTTACAGTCTTTTTTTGTTTTTTTAATGTTTATTTTTGAGGGGGGGGGAAGACACAGAATCCAAAGCAGGCTCCAGGCTCTAAGCTGTCAGCATAGAGCCCATCGCAGGGCTTGAACCCACGAACGGAGATCACGACTTGAGCCTGGCTGCTTAACCAACTGAGCCACCCAGGGGACCCTGAACTTCCTACTGTCTTAATGTTAATGCTTTGCTAGAGGGAAAAACAGCCTTAGATTGACAATAGGTAGGCCTCCAGTAAGACTGTAAGCATGTGAAAGCCTCTTTGGAAACTCTCTTGACTTTATCTACCCGCCCCCCACCCCGGGAAACAGGCCCCCCCCCCCACATCTGCAGCGGCCCACAGGTCCTGTCCCCGTGCTTTAATAAAATCACCTTTTTGCACCAAAGACCTCTTCGAGAATTCTTTCTTGGCTGTCGGCTCGGGACCCCACGAGCCCCCGTCACCCCAAAACTTCATGCCTGGCACATCTCATGCCTTCCCATTTGAGCCTTGGAGACAGCCTTTTCTACACATTTCTTTCGCAGAGAAAGGTGCAGTCCTTAGGAACCAAGATCTGGGCACGGGCTCCGCTCCCAGGCCTTGTCAGGGGGACAAGGTAGGGGATGTATGAACGCAGACACGTATCTATCCATCGGAGGGGAGGAAACACGGGACCTCTGCCCTCCAAGGAGTGTTCCCGCTGGGCCCGAGACCTGAACGGATGTATCAGGCGGACAGGTTACCTAAGTTTTACGTCACACTAGAGCCCTCAGCAGGAAATGAAGCCTCGAGGGGATGGCTGAGCGCACGTGCTTTTATATTAAGTTGAAGGACAGAGGCAACTGTGGAGAAGTAACCCAGCCGTTATGCGGGACGCTTGGAATCACTTTCACAGGGCCTGTTTGCATCGAATTCTCTGGGTCTCAACTTAGGATGAGAATGTCACTCTCCTACTGGCACAGGGTAGGTATCTGTCACGTGAGAGTTTTTATCTCCTGTTTTCAGGCAGCAAACGGGAGGGTAGAAAGCCCTTCTTCCGCTGTTTCGCAAGGGCTATTAGTTCAAAATAATCCTTATGCTAAAAGGGCATATTTGGGGGTGGCACGTTTCGCACCCTTCAACAAACACGTTTCTACATCCGTTATTTCTTTCGCTTTGGGTGTAGAATACTCACCAGTCACAGACGGGCAAAGGCTGCATTCCTACCTGGCCCCTGGTCAAATTCATAGAGACACAAAGTAGGAGGGGGGGTGGAGTGGGGGGCGGGGGCCGGGGAGCCGGGCAGTTAGTGTTTAGCGGGTCCAGTTACAGGTTTGCAAGATGAAGAGAGTTCTGGAGACGGATGGTGGGGGCGGCTACACAACAGTGTGAATGTATTTTGTGCCACTGAACTGGACACGGGAAAAATGGTTAACATGGTGGGGCGCCCGGCATGGGCGGGAGGGGGGTTCAGCGCCCGACTCTTGGTTTGGGCTCAGGTCACGATCTCACCGTTCGTTTGTGGGTTCGAGCCCTGCATAGGGCTCTGTGCTGGCAGCTCAGAGCCTGGAGCCTGCTTGGGATTCTGTGTCTCCCTCTTTCTCTGCCCCTCCGTGCTAATGTGCAAGCACACGCGTGTTCTCTCTCTCTCTCTCTCTCTCTCTCTCTCTCAAAATATAAAAATAAAACAATTTTTTTAATAAAAAAGAAAAATCACCCCCCCCCCCCCCCCCCCTCCCCGTTTTAAAATACCCCCCCCCCCCCCCCCCCTGCCCACTGCCTCCTTGCAGACAGCCTCTCCCCTGCTGTCCTGACCGCTGCTCCCTTGGGGCCTATTCAATAAACTTCTGTCGCCTTTGTTCTGCTTCAGGTGAATCCTTTCACCTCCATGCCACTGGCTTCCATGTGATCCTCACCCAGGTTTGGGGACCCCCATCTGATCGAGAGACAACCCATTTAGACACCACATGTATATATTTTATTTTATTTACTTTAGAGAGAGCGCACAAGCAGGGGAGAGGGCAGAGGGAGAGACAGAGAACATCTCAAGCGGGCTCCGTGCTCAGCACCGAGGCTCGATCCCATGACCCTAGATATGACCTGAGCAGAAACCAAGTGTCTGACGCTCAACCGACTGAGTCACCCATATTTTTATATTTTAACGTAATAAAAAAAATTTTAAGGAGACGCAAACCCCCCACCCCCCCACCCTCCAAAACCCCTCATGAAATACCACCAGTCAGGTTCATGGTCATTTTCCCCTTTCCACACTAGAACTCTTCCCTCTGAATGTCACAGAAGAGACTCGCCTTCCGTGGTGGAAACCCACCCTGCAGTCACTCCCGCAGGGACCCTTTCCTCCCCAGCACAGACACCTCCGACTCCCCTGCTGGGGCTGGGTTCCCAAGGTCCAGCCGCCCCTCTCCCCTCACCTCCACCCTAGGTCCTGAGGACCACCCCCTTCTGAGCGCCCTCCTCACTCACTCCCTCTGACACGACAGCTGAACAGCGTCCCCGCCCCTCGGCCAGCTGCTAACCTGCCCCGTCCCTCCCCCCACCAAGAGGCAGCACCTGTCTCCCCACCTGATGGCCCAATCCTTCAGCCAAGGAAGGAGAGCAAAGGGAAGGGAGGGGAGGGGGGGGGAGGGGAGGTGAAGGGAGGGAGGGGAGGAAAGAAGGAAAGGTGGAAAGAACAGGTCACTGGACTCCCACCTCAGGCGTGGAAACGGACCACGATCCCTTATTACTTGGAAGAACTGAGTGGACGATGGGAAACACTTCAAATTTAATACATGGTGGGGGGCACCTGGCCGGCTCAGTCGGTTAAGCACCCAACTCTGGATTTCAGCTCAGGTCACGATCTCAAGGTTCATGGGTTCCAGCCCCACACCCAGCTCCTCACGGACAGTGCTTGGGATCCTCTGTGTTCCTCTTTCTCTCCATGCCTCCCTCTCTCTTTCTCCATCTCTCAAAATAAATAAACTTCAAAACAAAAAACACGGTAAATCCCACATGTGGCTGAAAATACGTAAGAGAGTTTAACGACCTCAGTTTATCAATGGAAGCAAGCATGACAGAAAATGCTTCCCTCCGCGGTGATGGGGTTGGGGAAATGTATTCTATCCAGAAATAGAAGTGTAAGTTTCCAGTGGATTCACCGCTTAAGAAAGAGTCAGATTTGAACAGTGTCTTTCTCCTCCTTGGAAGGCTCACTCACAAAACCAAAGCAGCCCCGCGGGGCGCCTGGCTGGCTCCGTGAAGCTTGGGACCCCGGACCTCTGGGTGGGGAGTGCCAGCCCCACGCCGGGCGCGGAGATCACTTCAAAACCAAAATCTTCCCACAAAACAACATAAAA